CCATCAACGCGTACAACGCCGCCGGCGGACCCATCATCCTCGATCCCGTGGGCGCCGGCGCAACAAGTGTACGACGAGACGCTCTAGCCCAGCTCCTCGGCGCCGGGTATTTCGACTTGATCAAAGGGAACGAGAGCGAGATTCTCGCCGTTGCACGTGCAAGTGGGTATACGCTTGATAGTTCGAGTCAGCAACAGCGAGGTGTGGACTCTGGTGCTTCACTCTTCTCGCTGCCCCAAAGGGCGCATATTGTTTCCCGGCTTGCGGCTCGCGAACGCACGGTTGTGCTTATGACGGGGGCTACGGATCTTGTTTCGGATGGCGCGCGCACGTATGCGGTGGCGAATGGACATGAGTATCTGGGGAGGATCACGGGCAGTGGGTGCACGTTGGGTACCACGCTATCTGCGTATCTGGCTGCGTACCGTGAGGATAAGCTGTTGGCTGCTGTCGCAGGTTTGCTGCATTATGAGATTGCGGCAGAGGTTGCGGCGCAGAGGGAGGATGTCAGAGGCCCGGGGACTTTTGTTCCGGCTTTTCTGGATGAGTTGTGGAATCATGGGGAAAGGGTGGTGAAGGGAGATGTGGAGTTGAAGGATGTGGCCAAGGTGGAGTTCGTCAAGGATATGGAGGATCCTGGGTTGGTGGAGGATATGTAGAGAGCGTAGAGGCCGCGAAGGTGCACATGAAGAGTCTTGAAGCACACAAGCAGTACGAAAGCGCAAATGTAGATGGCCAATCTGGGTATTCCTGGAGAAGAAAAGGGACTAGTACTGCACCTTTTACTTGTCACTCCCTGTCCCTTAACGTAACACAAACGCTCACTGACTTCCAACATAATTTGATCGTACATTCCGGTGTCAACACTAACGCCAAATACGTCTACCTTGCTTTTCGGTACCGTCCCTGATTCATTTCTGCCTTCAAAGCATCCTGCTGATCCGGTAACGGCGCTCTTCTCCTGATACCATCTGCACCTACACCCGCAGGTCCACCCTGCCCACCCGCAAACCCTTGCTGTTGTTGTGGCGGCGGGGGCGGCCCAGGCCATCCCGGTGGCGGCGCCCCCATACCGCCAGGTGGTGGAGGGAAGCCCGGGAATCCGGGAGGCGGCATGCCTGGAGGAAGTGGTGGCATACCAGGCGGCATGCCTTGTGGAAAGCCAGGAAAGTTTGGTGGTGGAAAAGGAGGGGCTCCGTTGGCGTTTGGTGGAGGAGGTCCGTGGCCATGGGGTATAGGAGGGGGTGGTAGGGAGCCAGATGCGATGAGTTGTGCAAGGCGGGAGGGGTCCATGCCGTTGAAAGGAGGAATAGGCGCCCCGCCCGCATTTAGTGGGGGTGGAAAGGGCATACCGCCTGGTGGGGGTGGGATTGGTGGATGATTTGTGCCCCCAATACCCGGTAGAGAACTCGAAGTGCCATCTGGTGCTGTGTTGAGTCCTGGCAGCGAAAGACCAGGTGGGAGGAAGCCACCGCCTGGGTTCTTTGAAGGCATCTTCTGATCGACCAAGCCTTCGGCCTCGTCTTCTGCCTCCTGCTCTTCTTCTTCCATCTTTTGCCGCCTGCCCTGACCGCGGTCGAACGTGCCTTGCGCCTCTGCTGCTGCTTGGCCAATGTGGTAACGGTCGTTGACGTAGTTGGTGTCGCCTGGCCGTGGACGCGTCCAGAAGCGCGTGACCCTATCGTTGGAGCCCGAGGCGAGGATGTGGCCCAACGGATGCCAGTCCATGGTCCAGACAGTGAAGTCGTGAGCATATTGCAGGCTGTGCGCGGGGTATATGGTTTGTGAGGGGGCGTTTTGCGAGTCGGCGGCGTCGTAGGGCGATATCGAGGGTGCGACGCCGGCGGGAGGGTTCTGCTCGTCGAGGAGATAGTGGTGTATGCTACCATCGACGCCGCCGGTAGACAACAGGTTCTTGTGCATGGGATGCCATGCCATGGTGATGATGTCCTTCTCATGTCCCTTGAGCAGTAAGACGTCGCGCATCATTCGGAGGTCAAAGATGCGGGCTGTGTGGTCACGGGCGCATGTTGCTAGCATGTTTCCTTGGACAGGCTCGAACATGGTTTTTGATATTGGGTTTTTATGTCCATGAAGCGTCGTCAGACAGCGCCCTGTGCGCGGGTCCCAGAACTTGACCTGGTGGTCCTTGGACCCTGATACTAGCAGTCCCTTGTGCGGATGCCAGTCGACCGACTTGACTTCCCACCCGTGTCCTGTCAACGTCGACTCTTCTGTACTCGACGCAAAGTCCCAGATCTTGAGCGTGGTGTCGTCGGCGCATGTGACGAACTTGGTGTCGGTCGGGGCTATGGACAGGCCTCGCACAGCTTCGGTGTGGGCCTGAATCTCTTTGACGTTGTTGAAGTTGGTCTGCCAGTACTTGACGACACCAGTCTGGTCAGCTGACAGGAGCCAGTCGTCGGTGGATGTGTATTCGACGGCGCGGATGGCAGCCTCGTGGGCCTGCATAATGGTCTCGAAGTTGAAGCCCATGCCGTTCCACAGCGTGAACTCGCCGCTGGTCGAGCCTGTGAGCAGGCGGCGGCCCTCTGGCGTCCACTTGACGACGTTGATGGGGTGCTTGACCTTGTTCAGAGACGAATGCACGGCTTTGGCAGGTATCGACTCGGCGGCGCTGGCGACACGTGCTGCGGGCGGCTGCATGTCGACGATGTAGCTGGCGCTCGGCCGCTCCATCTCTGGCGCGGGCGCATTCTTGTAGCGCGGGCGGCGGTTGCGCATCCACTGGACGGTCGTTGAGCCATAGTCGGTCACGGCGCCTGTGGTTGTAGTCAGTCTATGAATCCTGCGCATGATGAACAGGCATACTGACGTTTTGGTCGGGGCCGCAAGCCTCCCTCAAAGTCCGGACGATGGTATTCGCGCTCCATGGCGTGCTGCTGCCGAAGACGCCGTTTACTCGATCACCATGGGGGGCGCGTCGGGTGCGAGGTGGTGAGTCGGGGTGCTGCGCAGGTGTTGTGTGCAGTGGAAGCGCGTGCCTCGTCGCGTTGGACGTGGGAACGTCGGCCACAGCGCAGCCACAGCGCCACACTCGACACCTGGGCGCGCTGCATCACCGTGCAGATCCCCGCTCACCAGACTCCCAACAGAATCCCGCGACGCCCTGATAACTCTATCGCCATTGTGCCAGAACCCTCGGCCATGGCGCGCTTATCCCGACTACAAATCCCCCGCCGCCCTCTCTCTGTCGTCCCTCGCTGGCTGGTTTTAGTTGCTTCCGCCCGAGCCATTGCGCCCAACCCTCCGCCATGGCCACCCTCACCCAACTGGCCGCCTCTTCTGCCCTCGACATGCAGCACGCCAGCTCCCCGGTGTACCGCGGAAAGACCGCTCCCACTCCCAATGGCACCACCAAGCGTGCGCGCGACACCAAGTACCGCCATGTCTTTGCGACGCACTCGGCGTCGCGCACCTCGTGTCTCAGCCAGGAGAGCGCAGACAAGATCCCGAGCTTCGTCGGCTTCAGGAACCTCATGATCTTGGTCCTGAGTACGACGCCGCCACTCCCGGCAGTAGCCGCACATCGCTGACCACTGCAGTCGTCTCCAACCTGCGCTTGATGATCGTGAACCTGCAGAAGTACGGCGTCCTCATCTGTCTGTCCTGCCACGACTACCGCCGCTCCGACGTCGTCACCGGCCTGCTGCTCTACCTGCTCGTCCCCGCCCACCTCTTCGTCACCTACCTGATCGAGCTCGCCGCTGCCTGGCAGGCCAACCGAGCCTACGCCCGCATCTCCCACCAACGCGACCAAGACACGCCCGCCAGCTACGCCGCCGCCCTGCGCAGCTTCAACTCGACGTGGTACATTGTCGCCTTTTTCCACAGCGTCAACGCAGTCGCCAACCTCTACATCGCGACCAAGTACGTCTACTACGACATCTACCACCCGGGCATCGGCACCCTCTGCGAACTGCACGCCGTCATCGTCTTCCTTAAGTGCGCTTCCTACGCACTCACAAACCGCGACCTCCGCCATGCCTACCTGCACCCCAAGCAGGCCGATCCGCTGCCCGAGCTCTACAAAGCATGCCCATATCCGCAGAACATCAACATGAAGAACCTGTGCTACTTCTGGTGGGCACCCACCCTCGTCTACCAGCCCGTCTACCCCCGAACCGACACGATCCGCTGGGACTTTGTCCTCAAACGTCTGGCCGAACTCGCTGGTCTCAGCATCGTCATCTGGATCGCCTCCGCCCAATACGCCGCGCCGCTGTTGCAGAACTCGCTCGACAAGATTCTCACGTTGAACTTTACGTCCATTGCTGAGCGTGTCATGAAGCTATCCACCATCAGCGTCTTCTGCTGGCTGTGCGGCTTCTTCGCCCTCTTCCAGTCCGCTCTCAATGCGCTTGCCGAAGTCATGCGGTTCGGCGACCGAGAGTTCTACGGCGACTGGTGGAACGTCTCGTCCATCCGCACCTACTGGACTACCTGGAACAAGCCCGTGACCAACTTTATGCGCCGCCACATCTACTCACCTCTTGTCGGCCGCGGTGTGCCTCCCGCCCTGGCCCAGATCCTTGTCTTCCTCTTTTCTGGCGTCCTGCACGAACTGCTCGTCGGCGTCCCCACACACAACATTATTGGCGTAGCTTTTGCTGGCATGATGTTCCAGATCCCGCTCATTGCGCTCACAGATGTCATCCAAAAGGTCAAATGGATCCAGGGGAGGGTTGCAGGTAACATGATTTTCTGGATGAGCTTTTGTCTCGTCGGACAGCCACTCGCGGCGCTGCTTTATTTCTTTGCCTGGCAGGCAAAATATGGCAGTGTAAGTAAGAGTGTGGGGGAGAGTGCTGTGAATGTATTCTATCGGCGGTAGTGTACGGATTTTTCCAGCTTCCGCGTAGTGAGCTTGTTGTTGTCATTCTTGTGGACGTCCAATACAACTCTATCCCATCCAGTCGCAAAAGATACTTTTCATTGTCGGATTGGCGTGTTGAATCACCAATTATGCGTTGCCTAGCTCACCCTGCAATCTCCAACAGTCCTCCCTTGACCCTGCGTAGCATGCGCACCACTTCCTTGTTCAAGACCCTCTCGACCCTCTCAATCCACAGGCCATGAACGCCTCTCTCAATACCCACATCAGCAAACCCTCTCGCCCTCTTCACTACCTCTACCCTTTCCTGACCACCCCAGCTCATCACCACTTCACTCGCACAGAAGATGCGCATACCGAGCGTAAACACCTCAGCTTTGGTACTCCAGCCCAGCGCGCCGTCACCTTCTCCCTCGGCTGTTTGTGTGAGCGTGGTGAGACCATCGAGTACCCAGTTGGTCAGATCGGTGCGCAGGCTCAGCGGCACAGCAGAGGCAGACAGGGAGAGGAGAATGCGCGACCACAGCATAGTGTCCAATGTGTCGTCTTTGTACAAATTCTGCTTCTCCTGCGCAAAAAGCGACGTATCTTCCTTCCTCTCCCGTGCAAAAGTGTTGGCGAATGGCGTGGAGAAGAGACGATGGGGTGAGGGCGTGTTGGTTAGACGGCGTATTGCTTCCTTGGCGAGGAGTCGTGATGTGGAAAATGCAGATACCAGGTACGCCCCCAGCCGGTGCGTAGTCAGTATCGGTACCGTGTTCTTGAACAGTCGGTCGCCTTGTGAGCGTAGGAGAATGCCTGCTGTGGAGGCAGCTAGATCGCGTATTTCGTCGTCATCGTCGTTGAGGAGGTCGTAGAGAACGATGGCTAGCCCAAGGATCAGAGGTCCTGTTTCTCCTTTGGGGGCCAGGGAGAAGATAGAGTTGAGCGCGGACAGGGATTGTATGGCTGCGTAGCGAGTGTCGAAAGGGTTGGTATCGATGGTTGTCATGCGCAGCAGGCGAATGTAGCGTGCGATACGGGCGAGAACCTCGTCGCGGTGGAGTGGGTAGCTGGTGTAAGCATGGTCGAGGAATGAGCCTAGAAGATGCAGGGCGCTTTGCATAGTTGATGGTGGGCCATGAACGCACTGTGTTTCCAACCTTGTCAAGGTGAGCATGACTTGATCTTGCATCGTCAGGCTGAAGAAGTCGCTTTTCAAATGGTCCTTGGTAAGAGCGTCGGCGAGAACGGCTTGCGCTTTCGAGATGACTTCTGGGTCGCAGGCCTCCAGGACTACACGATGGATATGCGCTAGGACTAGCGACAATGGAATGGTTAGGCCGTTGGATGTCTTCATCTGTAATATGGAGTCCATCGTTTCCAGAGCTTCCATGCAGGTATCCGGATCCTCGTTTGCGAGAAGCATGAGCGCATCGCCAATGTTTTGATAATCGTCCGAGACCATGCTGTGAAGCGAATTTTCACGCAGAATGATCCGGTCAACGAAGTATACCTGTGCGAGGGATGTCCTGAGTAGATCATCACCGTGGTGATCACTTGGTCCGATATTGTACTCCGGTCCAATGGCTATGGATGTAGTGAGGTCAATCCACGCACTAAGTATTGTGACAGCGGTCGCTCTTTGCAGCATGGCCATGCCGCATAGGCTCACAACATCAAGGAAGGCGGTTCGTACAAAAGGGCAGTTACTCGAAATGTACCAACTCGTTGCGTGTTGGCCGAGCTGCTGCATCAACGATGAGAAGTGTTGCAAAGCTGTCAGAAGTCAACAGCTGAATATTCAGTTTCTGCTTCCGACACTACTTACTGCATTGGTTTTCGTCTCGCAACAGCTTCCTCAGCAGGTACTTGACTACCAAAAGCCTCCCATGCTGTTCATTGTGATCGCTGGTAACCGTATCTAGAATTGGAGAGAGTTCATGGTAGCTCTCGTTAGTAGTGCCCAGTGACACATATGTTCTGGCCGCCATATCTCGCATATGCCAATGCGGGCTCGGTAGTAAGTCCCTTACCAAGCCGCGGATCTTGGTAAGATCTCCCGGCGGCCGGGCCTGACGCAAGATCTGGAGAGCGGGAAACACGCCTTCAGCACCATGGAGATCCATTGGCGAACTGCCACTCTCGGGTGTCTCCATGATTTTGAGATCGCCGCTTGGCTCAAGCAGTTCAACCAGGATCTTCACGAGACTGGGATAGTTGTCGTAGGAGAACCGAGACGTTTTGGCTCGCTCTCGTTCTTTCCAGTCTTGAGCTTCGTCGCTGCCGAGTAGTCGTTCGATCAGAGCTTTGAACAGCATCAAGCTGCAATTGCGAAGGGGCCATCTGAGTGCGCGTTAGCTTAAAAACTGTAATGTCTGTGTAAGTGTCACTAACATGGGCGAGCTCAGAGTTTTAGCAGCAAGCTCGAGACCCTGCCCGATGTATGTCTCCGATGCAATACTCAGCTTCGAGGTCGTGAATATTTCCTTGATGCAGTTCAGAGCATGCACCTGAGGAAGACGGCTTTCCTCTATATTTGTACTTTGCGCCTCCACGAGAGTTTCGGCGACAAGATCTTTGATAGCTCGAGGGAAGAGTTTGCCTCCTGTTTGTGGCTCAGCTGCCAGTAGAGCGGACATGGCTGCTGGTATGCCCGCCGACCTCCGAGTGATGGCGTCTGACTTTGCTTGGATGGATCGTAGCGTTTCCTAGAGACTTTTAGTTCCCAGATCACGCCGACGGTGGCTGTACAAACCTGATACCACATCTCTGGTAAAGCACGTAATGTGGATATGTTCGACAAGACACAGCGGCGACAGAAGACTGCAAATGTCTGAGAGACTGTCGAAAACGCACCGCGATGACGAAGCTCCAGTAGCTGAGTGAAGCAGAGTCTGCCGAGCTTTTCGAAGAGTTCTGGAGTCACAAGGTCGTTGTCACCGTCACCTACAGGAGCTTTGAGGATGATCGTTCGTAAAAGCACACTGATGAAGTTAGCAGTGTCGGCTGTGTAGTCGAGGAATCAATACCTAGCCTCCTTCAGTCCTCTCCATGAGTAACTCAGAATCTCTTTAGTGTCTAAGCTACTCTCATCTTCTACTTCGTCAGGAACATGGCCTTCCGGTGCATCCGCACACAGAACGTGATAGACGCAGGACCACAGACTCTCTATGCCTGTTACGATGTCCCCATGCGCTTTTTTCCAGTGCGCAAACTGATCAGATGGCAAGCTCGAGACGAACGCGTAAAAGTCGGGTTGATCGGTCACATATCGTAATGCAGCAAATGTACCATGTACCGGTCGACCATCGACGGCTCGTGGAAGATCGCTGCGGGCCAGAGTCAACGTTTCGTCGAGTTGTGTTCTCAGATATTCGAAGAGGTGCTGCTTGGAAGAGAAGTGTTCGCCAGTGGGGGCACCTGGATCATCGCCAGCCAACGCAAAGATCATCCCGTAAGCACGCGCAACACCGTCCGCTTGATCCGCTCGCCCTGTTCGGAGCATGGTAGCCTCCGCTCTCGTAACGAATCGGGGAATCATTGACATGATGCGTTTCTTATCGGTTTGCGGAAGCGCAACTAGACATAGCTGCAAGACCGATACAGCCGCGTCTCGAACATCGTCAAAAGGATCCAGTATTAAATCGAGCAGTATTCGGCACAGCTTCTGGTTTCCGAACTGGAGACCGTGAGCCCAGTTTAGCTGACCTTGCGCAGACTTTGAGAGACTGGTAAACGGTACCCCAGGATCTATCCCAGATCGTAATACGATGGTGATGGACCGTAGTGCGGTGATGCGGCTCTGGTAAGAGGCAGTTGGGCGCAGCTCCCACTCAAGGAACTGCACATACCAGGTGATGAAAGCTAGGGACTCAGAAAGCGAATCATGTCGCGGAACCCGCGCAATTGAAACATGTGGGCTAGAGCTTGTCGCTGGGAAAGGGAGGCGTCTCTGGTCTGAAGAAGTAACCTTCGTGATGGGTTTTGCTAGAGTAGCTGTACTGGCTCTCAGACGATCAAATAGCTTTTGTGTATAACCATGCACCTCCCGGCGGAAATTTGCATCCGTGTCGGTATGAAGATGGGGGAGGTTGCGCTTCAAGGCCTGCAAAATACCGCCACTCATAGCTTTCGTGACAGAAGTAGAATACACGCCCAGGAACATGCCTGCAAGCCTGACTTCTGGTTCCGAGTCCGCCATCCAGGCTCCTGATATGTCGTCCGGCAAATAGAGCGCCCCGTCACGGATTTGGATGGTGCTTTGAGCTCTATGATCTAGTACAGAGATGAGCGAGTGCCTTTGTTATTGATATATGCCAATCACATCCACTTACCATTATCCTTTACGATGTTGAGTTCCTTCCCAGTTGCGATCGCTGCTAGGAGTATTCTGAACTCTTCTAGTCCACCAAGAGATGATGTGCGCCTGCCGGACTGGCGAAGCTGGCTGGGTAACGCATGCTTATACGGAACATGGGACTCGAAATTGAGATATGCGAGGAACCTTAGGTACTCAGAGAGATTGGGTAGAAAACAGTGAGGGAAGACGTGAGTCTTAAACTCCTGGATCCGGTCTGGCCAGTCGCGCAACGTCTGCATCACCGGCTCTATCCAGGGAGGTAAGACTAAGCCATCGTCGGGGTGTTCGTCGTAGTTTGCGAGACGGCGAGCCTGTAGTAAGTAGTTCTTAATCAAGTGTCCCGCTGAAAGGGAAGTATCATGATGCACGACCCAGGCAAGGAAGGATGTGAACACTGTTCGCGAAGTTACCGGCCCCTGGATGGCATCTGATGTTCGCTTCAGCTGCTCGTCGAACAGACTGACCAAATCCGTGATGGAAATCACATCCCGCAGCAGGAAATGCGCAAGGCCTTGCAAAGCTGGTTTAACTTTGATGCGGTCTTCTCGCTCACAGATGATGTCCAGGATTGAGGTCGTAGCTCGTGTCCGAAGTTCGATTGCACGCGCACTCTGATCTTTAGTAATGACACCCGTAAGGACCAAGAGCATCTGCCTCATCGACTTGCCCTTTGCATCTCCAGACCGCTGAAGGTATATGTTGAATACTCGCATCCATATGGAATCATCTAGGATCGCCTCCCGTGCATAGGCGCAGTGGGAAGCCGCGCAGTACTCAATGATTGCGCACAAGGCATTGGATGCGGCTGCTCGATGGCTGTTCTCTAGTTCTGGGAGGTCTGCAGTTTCCAAAGCAGGATCGAGAATAACACGAAGCTCTCTACTCAGACGTTAGTGGGGTTCGGCATCGACAAAGCAAAGCTCACGGACTTTGCGTCCTTACTTCAGAGCAGTTGCAGGCTCTTTCTCCGCGAAATTAGGCAAGATTTTCGCCACATTCTTGGCCACATCTCGCAACGCCTTGTCAGAGACCGGGACTTCAGCAGCTGGTGCGGTTCCTTCTGCCATGGCCCTGAAGATTAGCGATCTCGCACGGGCGTCGACAGTTCTAATTAGTAGGTCAGAAAGACGAGGGCTGGAGATTCGCGAGGTGGACCCACTAGCTTAGTCAGCTGCGAATCTCTTATGGTGCGCTGACGCTTCGATCTTTCACGCGTCGCGCCGAGGCCCGTCGTCGTCGCCTTTGCGAAGCCCTGACTATCCAATTGCGCGTTGTTTACTGTCGACACCGACTCACTCAGCGTGAATTTTCTGTGTTGTTGCTTCAACGCCCTCCCTCAGCCCCGCCTTTAACCCTCGACACGCGTTCGGTACGCGCCTTCTAGCATCTCGTATCCAAGAAGCAATTACCTAGGTATCTCCTACGAAAGGCGTTACAGTCAGCGATTTGAACCGATGCTCGTTAATCATCTTTCTTTGGCATGATATTCGATCGGGACGACTTGCCTTATGACTACCATCATCCAGGCGAGCCCACTTCCGTGAGTAACCTAGGCATACATTTGTCACATAGCGCTCCGAAGCATATGAGATTTCTCGGCCAGTACGGCACAGAGTTTCAAACCGGGAAATGAACTGAACAGCGCATTCCGTTTGCTTCCTACAACATTTCCATATCTTGGCAGTTGCTATCCGATACGAGGCCCTCACGGCGAGGCTGGAAGCTTGCTGATCGCTCCTGATAGGACCAGCCTGGTCCGCCTATTGCTTCTTTCTGGTTCATGGCTGTTTGCGCTCAAAAGGCCCAAATCGTTGCCTGACAGCAAAGCCATGTCCCGCCCGACAGGTGCTGTGCAAGCGTCTCGGCGTTTGTTGGGCTTCTGTCGGGTATTGGGAGACGACAAGATCCCACTCTTCCAGTGAAAAACAAGCGTTACCCTGTAGTGATCACGTAAATTGGGTGAAATCGACCAGATGTTATTTGATCATGGCCATTTCCCATGTTGGAAGGCGCCACACCGGGGAGCGAAACGAATCTCCACTGTTTTGTACTCCATCGCCCGATGAAAGGCCTGTTAGTCTTACTGGAGCCTCGTACGTTGACAGCGGAGATGCCGACAGTACCGCTTTCTCTGGCGCCGCAGGACATCCCCGGGGCACAGCAAGCCTGGAAAGACTTTCTCGGACCGCCCGATCGTATGATTTCTCCATATGTGACCCACTCCCTCTCATTTGGTCGGATGCCATTCTTTCGAACTTTCAACTGAAGAAGTCGCTCTTGGAACAGGCAGATCACAGTCAGCAAGATCGGTCTTCCGTAATGGCGCTCACGCGTGGTTCTCTCACCTCGTTCAAGGGCCCTGTCGATGAGGGCTCTGCTATCGAGCGCAATCACCTGTCTCATGACAAACTTGACAAGGCTCACCAGCCAACCTCTCACCCACCAAAGTTTGCCCTGCCGTCAATCTCTACAACTAAGGCAGTGTCTACCCAAGGCCTTCGATCCCTGGGACAGCTCGCTGGATATGCAACAAGTGAAGAAGACGAGCCAGCAAAACTTCCGATACCACTAATTAAGAAAGGCCGGCGCAAGAAGCCTGTTGCGTACAAATCTGCTGAGACTGCGGCAAGCGATAGCAGTGAGTCTCGAAGCAGCCGTCCTCGATCTCGCCAAGTGCTCTCTTCACCAACCTTGGTTGCAAAACGCAAGCAACTTCAGACCTCAACTTCTCGCCGACAGCACAAGCGCGTTATGGGAACCGTTACCCACAAAAGATCTGATAGCAAAGTGGGCAAGACGAAGAACATGGCAGCCAAGAGACGTCCGAGTGAGCCGTTTGCCTCATCCAGCACCGCGAAGCGCCCATGCACGAAGGGCGGTTTCGTTGTCACGAGCAGTGACGAGAGCGATATCGAGGGCAGCGACGAGAGCGATCAAGATGACCGCAAGCATGGCAATCTTTCTAGATCACCCGTCCCAAGACCATCCTGGGGACTAGAAAAACCAGACCCTTTTCCGGCCAGCTTGAGGATTGAGTCTACTTCAACAAACCTACCGACTAAGCAGTTGAATAAAGACCGTCTTAACGCGCTTTTGGGAAGATTCAAAGGCACAAAGACGAATACCAAGGAGAAGCGACCATCTATGCATGTACAACAATCCGTCGCAACAGCTCGCGCATCTCCCGTTGCTACGGGTCTCACTGCACCACCTAACCGACAACCTTCAGTGCCTGTGCAGTCGACCGGCAGTAGCGATACAAACCGTGGTAAACGACCCGCTGCGGTATCTGAGACAAAACCAGCAGAAAGCCTTGATCAACAGCCTAAAGTGAGGGGTCCATCGATGTCCACGACTGAGGGCAAACCAACCTCGATCTTCCAAGAGACTGCGCAACCTATGGCAAATATCAGAACCTATGGTAGTGTACGAAAGCAGATCAGCTCAAACCCCTTACCCCCTAGCGCCGCTGTTGTAGGTTCTTCGCCCAGCGCAGTAATCCAACCGCGCAAGCTGTTGAATGAAAGTACGCTTCCAGGTCACGGGAATGATGCGTCAAGTCACAAGGCCTCACCTGATACTAAGCCTATGAGTCTTCTCCAGTTGGCTTTAATGGATGCAAGAAATGATGGTACGGGTGAGCCATCTTCGACGGCTCGGACTAGTGGCCGAAACGAGCTGAAAATTGCCAAAAGAAGTCCGATCTCGACGTCTCCAGTCAGCAAATTCAGGAAGACGGCTCAAATACCTGGGAAAAACCACAATACCGCTACGAACGATGCAGCACCTGAGAAGCACTCACTTTCCCCAGGAGATGTTTTGAAGGTATCGAGGCCTGAAGCAGCGAAAAGATCACAGGACCAGGCACAACCATCTGCTTCACATTCCAGGAGATCCACACCAAGTGTATCCAAGGCGGATACAGCGGACGCCAAGTCTGCCTCGTCAGCTCCTGGACAGCCAGCTCGAAAGCGAAAATTGGACATCATTTCCAATGGACCTGGACAAATCACCGATACAGCATCCAAGAGGCCTACTCTGACCTCTACCACTGGTTCGAGGCGTCCAGGTAGTGCAATACCAGCATCAGAGGATGGTGTTACCCCTGGCTCAGTTGTAGCCCCGAGAACATCTTCGCGTGAGGTGCCCACGAAGACTAGCGACGTGCCTTGTTCCCCCGCAAAAAAAGAGGACGCACCCAACGGAGCGGCTTCTACGCCTCATATGGAGAAAGCGCCGAACGACCCAATGATCCAGATGCCTGGAGGTTCGAAACAGTCACGGGAAGCCAGTACATTGATGGACGTCGATGGTCTTGACCATACGACTACTGGTAAATCATCTGTTTCCAAGACCACTGATGACAAGCCTGTAGATGAACACGTAGCAATCGTAAAGAAAGGAGATAATCTCCCAATGAAGGATCTGAATCCTACCTCGTCAGCGAAGATGATCGATAGCGCCACCAAGACTGCTACGACACCACCTGTATCAACACCCGATCCAGGACTGCTTCCTTTGGAGACTACGATAGACACGAATGAGGAAATCCTACACCTCAATGGCCTCCCTGATGTTTCCAAAGAGGCACAGCCTTACTTTGAATATTCCGTCTTCCAAAAGATCTGGCAGGTCGAGCAGGTCGAAAGCACCCTCTCAGCGACTGAGATCACCGTGCGACCCTTCACTAGTCTCGACGACGCAAACGCGCAAGCCGAAAAAGTGTTCCAAAGCAATACCACCCTCTTGAAAGATGTTATATTCGAAAAGAGCAACAATCGGGACGAACACGGATGCTTCATCCTCACTGGCTCCATCACACCTTTTGACAACCCCGCAAACACCTCCCACCTCAAGATCTGGGTACAGCGCGACCTTGTATCCGCACTCGCAAACCAGACCCCACAGGCAATAAAGGGCGCATCGTTCATCTCAAGCACATGCTACATTGTCCGCCTCTTCAAACTAATCACACAAGCCGACGCTGAAGACTCGTCCTCTTCCTCCTCATCCGACGCCGGCACCGACTCCCCCGATCCCCCAACCCAAGAACCAATCCGTGCCTACCACGCCCACACCCGCCCTGAAATCTACACCACCCTGTCCGCCGCGAACCGCGCAGCTCGCGCCCTTCAAATCCAACTCAGCCACGAGAAAGAACCCAAAGATGCGTTGAGCAAGGCCTTTCAGGAAAAGAATCTTCAAGAGCTCAATGCAAAGGTGGTTCAACTTCAGTCGCCATCGGACGAGGGAGGTGGGTGCTGGAAGAGCAGGTTCAACGCCTGTGGACTGGGCGGAGATAGTCTGGAACTCGTGGTGGAGAAGACGAGTCTTTGCGGACCGAGGAATCTTTGATGTTCGCGTGCGAGACTGGGTTGCGTCGGGGTTGCGATGGGGCATGGGTGTTTGAATTTGTGGAGGGGATGTGGTGTCTTACGGGTTTGGGTCGGATGCTTTCTCACTTATCCTGCTTATCTTGCTATCACGGTCTGGGACATCCTACTATCTACTTTCCAAGGCGACGGGAAACTGACATATGAAGCCGAGAGGGCAAAACTTGTACATCACATTGGCAACCTAGACTCTTCCATCCAAACATGTTTGTTGTGCGTATATATTGACACGGCCCAAATAGTCACATCACACGCGCCCCTCCATCACGACGCCTCCATCACAAACAAACCACAAACAACGGAGACCCCACAGTGGATGGTGGCCGCATGTAAGCGTAGGTAGTAAACAACCTAAAGAGAAAAAAAGAAAACAACACACACCACAACACACTACATACATACCCAGGCCATGCAGCAACGATGAACCCCGCAGGCACTAGTCGCAGATAAACAAGGAGCCCCATACGGGAGCCCTTCCGGGCGGGGTTGAAGTGGAAAAAACGCCACAAGTGGGCTTGCAGAGCATCATCCCATGGCGCTGACCGAATGAGTTAGCGAGGACGGAAATAGCATGGGACGTGCTGATAACGATGATCTGGTGGGAACGACCGTATGTAGTAGGCCGCGCTTTGGCATCATGTTATCTCACTAGCACGTGTTTCTGGATTTGGCAC